AAGGAAGGTTGATCAGATTCCATGACAGACTTTATTGTACAAAGAAGGAAACAGGTAAGAGAAAAAACACATTTTAGACAGAGAGTACATTTGATCATGATATTACTACATATATGAGAACACTCCCGCCCTATATGCATGCATCTGCAGTCAACATATGTGTGCTTATGTGTGAAATTGTATCATCAAAAAATGCCATCAAATAACTTTCTTTTCCTTAGGAGTGATAGCAGTCACTGAGGTGACCTGTTCATTATTGGTGACACATTCTGTGCATGCCAGTACTTGTCTGCGGCTCTGACATATCACAAATTGTCAACTGTGATTAAGAGACTTCTATACACAAGCCATGGAATATATACTGTAAATTGACATGTATTTGATGTTTCTCTGTGTAACAAGACAAATGCAAAAGCTTCGAATGACATCAAAGATCAGTGTACATAAATAGTCATAAAATGTGAAATTTTAGTGTTCAATTAAGTACATTTTCTCATATAAGAGAAAACTTTTACCCTGAAAATTCAATTTTTATGAGATGATGATCCATTTTTATTTCTCGCAGGTGGAAAACTGAATCTTGGTTTACACAGAAATAAGATGCAAAGCATAGTTTGCTGCTTTTAAACTAGAATGTTATAAAATAAAGCGTAAGTAGGACAGAATGCCTGCTCATTATTCTGAAAGCCTCTCTGTTACTTTATCACCCACTTTTCTAATATAATAGTTTTCTAGGTTGTCAGTAGTAATTTAAATACCTGCTAAGAGCTATATTCTGATTGTGCGTTCACTAAATCTGACCAATACTAAAATCAGCTTCATGTTCTCTAGTGTTTTGGGGTGGACGGGCATCTTAAGGGGCTCCCTGTATGCCAGTGCCATCTCAGGTAATGGTCTTCAAGGCATAGCAGGAGACATCAGGAGGTAAAACTAGGACTCGCTGAATCTAAGCATCAGCCAGGCACTAGACTTAGAGTTTGTAATACAAACAAGCAACTAGAGGAGCACAGGAAGGTACCCCAAGAGGAAGAGGCTTCATCGAACTGTTACATGCACTCTGCTCTAAGAGGTCAATAAGAATTCATCCTTTAGAATCTGAAAGGCAGGAATTATAAGGCAGGGCACTCCAGGAAGCATTTGGGGGAGTCATAACATCTCACAAAATGAGTATTATGAATGGTACTTAATGGATAGATGAAGGAAGCAAGTGGTGGCAAAATCATCTAGTCACAAATGTTATTAAAGGACATGGACTTTAATCCTCAGCAGAGAGGAATAACAGCAGAGAAGATAGTGAAGTCAGTTAGAATCCCTTCATATCCATGAGGTTATCTCAGGAAAGTAGGTCAAGTTCATGACTCCAGTGACGGCAGTGAGAGAGGAGGATAGAGAAAGATTTGTGTTCAGATGTCTGAGTAGGAGCCCCCAGGTGCAACGGCTTCGGAGAATAGGATAATTACCTGTGGTGGACATGAAACATGCTGCAACAGAAGCCACAGCCTGGGGTTTCCACTAGACTTGAAACCTAGGTAGAAATTGGATCATAAGATGTTGGTTGCAGTCTAGTTTCTTGCTCTGGAAACCAAAGTTGAGAGAGTACAAGATTACATCATCCAAATAGAGAAAGATAAAGAGACTGAAAAGACAGCGGGTTGTCTTCTGCAAGAACACAGGCTAACGTCCCTTGGTCAATGTAATTTGTCTTATGTACTTTATCTTTGTAATTTAAAGTTTAGTGTGTATACAACTAAAAGTACAGATCTAACTGTTGTTCCCTGTGATAGAACTGCTAGCAGGAGAGACTCATTAAGTAATATTTATACAGGCATCTCTACTTACAAAGCTTTTTCATATAACCTAGGAGCAAAAATTGTTTTTCAGTAAAACCTTCAACTGTGTCTTCTATACTCCCTTCTGAAACACTGGGTCCCAATATCTCATGGGAATTTCGTCCACTTACATGGGCTCACTTCATTTCCACAGCATTGAAAAGATGCAGTTCTGGTTCCTCACTTTAAAAAAGCCTAGGAGCTGCCCACTTCTAGCATCGCTGCAGTTGTATTACCTCATATAGTAAACTGACACGAGCTTTGAGCATATTTATAACAATTTTCCCAGTCAAAACAATAATAAACTTTTACTATTTTCCAGGTATCTGTGGGAATCTTGTGAATGGCTAGTTCTGTCTACAAATGTGTTTCTTTTTCTAGGATAGAATACTGTGACATAAACCAGTTTAAGGGAAAAAGTCTTTATTTTAGTTGACTGTTCCAGAGAAGCCATGGTCCATCATGATGGAGAAGGTATGGCAGAAAGGGCATGAACCTACTCCATCACATTTCAGAGGGGGAGAACAGGAAGTGAGGCCAGAAAGATTCAACCCCATCTCCACCCTCCATACCTCCCACTGACAATCATTCTTTGAACAAAGCTTCATTCCCTAAACGTTCAATAACCTTCCCAGAAAGCACCATCCACTGGAGAACTATTCAAATATAGAAACTCATTAGAAACATTACTCATTCAAAGTCTAACACCATGGGCCCATGAATTTGCATGAATCAAAGTCATCTAAGTTCCTGTCTATGGCTAGTGACTAGATGTGTTTATGCCTCTCGGAGGCTGATGGTCGCTGATGTGAGTTCACTGGATATTGACAGGAGGCCTCAGTTCAATGTCATGCGGACCTTTCCATGGACTGCATAGATATCATCATATACATTATCTGTCTTCCCCAATGGGAAGAGTTTCAAGAGACAGAGAGACAGAAACTCCTTCGTGTTTTATGCCCAACCTTGGAGGTCACTCTCCACCATTTCCACAAAACCTTGTTTATACAACCCTGTCTAAGTCAGCAGTCAGAGAGATTTAAAAGGAACTGGCGTGTCAAAGGATGGAAGACATGGACCACTGAGGATGCTATGACTGCCTTAGACACGATCACTTTCAACTTGAGTTTTACAAAAGTTCATTCTAATAGAAGTTAAAGATTCTCCAGAGCATTGCTATTCTACAAACACTTTGCTAAGTTAAGCTTTCCATAAAATATTTTAAAGCTTATGAAAACATATGAGGCACCTAGCAATCCTAAATGTATAACCAAATACTACAGGTAGCTTGTCCTGTAGAAAACTTGCAAAAGGAAACATATGCCTCACTTGGTAATAAATGAGGCCTTTAAATGGTCTGTTCATGCTATTTATCTGTTTGAATCATTGAAATAAATTGCAACCCACAAGTCTTCTGGAAATAGCCCAAATGAAAATGATTAATCAGAGTGCCAATTAAAGGGATTCTCCAATACATGCATCTGGAGGAGGATAGACTTATATTTTAGTGTTTTAAAGACATTAGGGACTTGAAGAATCAGTTGGATAAAGCTTACATATAGCTTTGATATGTTACGTAATTCCTTGATAATGTTCCAGCCACGAAATGTTGCTAGGCGACAAGAAAATGACTGTGAAAGGGATGACTCTCATCTACCCATGCTAAAGCAATGCTTTCACCTCTACTTTGGTGTCCTTTCACACCACTATCTGGGGCACAGCTCCTTATCTGAGCCTTGAAGCCTGTAGAAGTGTCCCATATATTAGCATTAACACTGGCTGGTGTCAGCTAGAGCTCTTGCTCCCACAGACCCATTGATAGGATGCAGAATTTCATGAGTGAGAGATGGCATCCTCAGCCTCATCTTCCTCATTGCTCCCTTACTTTTCTAGCTCCTCCCACAAACATACCATGTAAATTTGAGTGATCTGACAGCTTTGGATGCTCTTGCAAACTCTAGCCCAAATATCCTAGAATTTATTGTTTATTCTCAACTCAGATTGCCCTGATTTCCCAAGGATCTCTGCTACTTCTGCACTCTCATTATCCCCCACACAACAGAAATGTAGTGCTATGAATTCTCAGTTACTGAGTTCGGCCTATTTGTCTCTATCATTTGCCTTTACATTCTGTTTGACTCTTCACTTCTGCCATCTGCAAAAGATCAGCATATCCTGCATCTATAATCTCAGTTTTGATTTTTTCTAGGCGTCCTATTTGCATAACACTTTAAACTCAATAAATTCACATAAAATCCCTCATTTGCTTACCCTGTCACTCCCCCAAGAGCATCATCACATGTCCCAAGCTATCTGAGTATCCTTGACCTTGCCACCTGCCAATCACCTCACCTTTTGTAAATCTCTGGGCTCTGTTTTGACTGCCATCACCTCTGGCAGCTACTGCTTTGCATCCTCACTAACCATACCCCAGTTCACTCTCTCATTACCTATTAAATAAATTCTACGTACTACTATTGGAGGTAACATCTCTAAAGCAAGCTCTAAACAGTTCCTCAGTATGAATTGTATGGTACTCAGGCTACTCTGTTCCTGTTTGGTCAATCCTTGTTAGCTGTCTTGGTCATTGTTGATCTTACTTTATTTAGCTTTCCCCCAATGCTTTAAATAGGAATTATTACTGTTTAGGCTTATTGTTGGGAAAAGGTATTTTATCAATAGCTTTACTCAATGCTAGACCCTATGTGCTACACTATGTACCTACTAGGCAAGATGTCACCACTAGCACAATAGTGGCATGGCTTTTAGAGAGTAGCCACACATTTTCTGATGAGATTTCAGGCCTGCTATTCAGGAAGGAATTTATGTTTGGTACATTAAACCTTGTATTCTAAATTACATGGATGTCATAGGCCCCAGATGAAACCAATCATTGTTGTTTCTGAATGATCATGTTATCAAAACTGCCTTCTTGATAATGGAGTCTTAAAGTCCCACAGAACAGTTCTTACATGCTTACAGTTTTATTTTTAAAAGGTTGTTTGAAGCATTATTTTCTCCTTGTCAACTATAAGTTCTCATTATTAAATCACACAGGGCATGGCTGAGAGATAGTGGCTCTGCTCTGACATTATCATAAAGAAACTTTTCATCTTCATTATAGTATTGTATTCTCAGGACCCTCCTCCATAACTTCTCTTCTCATTTCAGGGAGAATAGAGAGGAAGAGAGAGCAGAGAGCAGCATCGGGTAAGATCTCCCTTAATTAGCTCCAGCTCCATTTTCTGCTTTTATTTCCAACTTCTAAAATGTGGCTCTAACTTTGCATTCAATTTTTCACATTAAAATTTATCATTTATGATCCTTGACTTGATCAATATTAAATTAATTTAAAATAAGTTAATAGACTTAGATTTTATTTTGGCTTTCACATCAATCAATTATATCCCTGTCATTATGTCTTTCCATTCAAAAGAAAATGAGATGGAATGTTTAATTTTTCATGATTATATAACAAAAAGAAAGTCTTAACAGTCAGCAATTTTAAAATAAGGATATTTTCATGATTGTCAACCAGCTCCTTTTCTCAGGAATCTATGAATCTCGGTTGTTTTTCTGAAAAGCCATTTTTTGAGTTATAGGATTTTTTTTCAAGACTGTATTAACTGTTTAACTAAGAAAATCTTTGTATCTGGGAGAAATTGTTAATGTGTTTTCAATGATTATAGAATATAAACTTTTCATATTTCTAGAGGTAGCTGTTACTTAATCAATGCAATTGCATACTTTATGAAGTCAATATTTGCTAACTAATGCAAAAGAAGCCTTTATATGTCCATATTTCCCTATTTGGTTTTTTGATCTAAAGTCATGGGGGAAAATAAATTTCACTCACTGAGCAAGCATTCAGGTTAAGACATTGGAGCCCACTAGGTACAGATCTGAAAAGAACATGGGAAATACTAATTTCACTTACATGCCTGTGTCCAGCCCTTTACAAATTTCAACAGCCATGTTTCTTATCCCTAGAGTAGTTGAAAGCTGCCAATATAAAGATAAGATATTTCTAATACTGTTCTTCCCACTGGGGGGTCAGTTCACAGGTGTGGTATGTTTCTCAATAAGCTACTACAGTTAATAGAAGACAGCTTCTGCACCCTCATCTAAAAGGGAATAGAGCTCCAGGATTCCTTGTCACTAGAATTACTATCCCAGCTTCCCTTTTAAAATTTGCTGGCCAGCAATCCTAGATGAAATAAATAGCTAACAATCCAGTGAATATAGTGGAGAATGGTTGAAGATGACATCTTATAGCCTTCTCTGTCCTCACATGCATGTATACAGGTGCAAGAACCCATAAACTCACATCCTTGCACCATGAACCCACAGGAGCATGCATACTCATACATACACATATATGCAAACACACACACACACCCCAGCTGTAAGATCTGAGATGATGAGATGATAATTCATAGATAAAGGTAGTTGCCACTAAGTCCTATGGTCTGAGTTCAATCTTTAAGAACCAAAGGTAGAAAGAGAGCATTGACTTTTGAAAATCATCCACTAATCTCCATTCATGCACTGTAGCATGGGTACCTACACATGCACAAACAAATAAACAAGCAGAATTTAAAATTTAACTGTGAGATATTCTCAGAGCTTGTCTGCATTCTGATAGAAACCCAAACTGTGCTTTCATTTGAGATACTATTTTGCCTAAACCAGGAATAAATTTTACAAGAGTATTATAAATTAATATCATTCGCTGCAATTTTTGAAAAGCAACTCAAAGCATGTATATGCCCCTTGACACTAGCTTTGAAATCACAGAACCTATTATTATAACACAAAATCCAAACACAAAAACACAAAACCAAATAAACACAAAAGCCAAAGCTAAATTTGAATGTGTTGTATTGTAAGAATACATGGACAAAATAAAAGAGTCAAATACTTGATGGGATTATTTATCTAGCTGCCCTGACTTTTTCACTAATCCAGCTCTTTCATCAGGAATATATGGAAAAATGATCATGTTTTACATAAAAAAACTACTGAATGAGTAGTATTTTTGTCAAAAAAAACCCTGTTGTGGTGTTCTTGATATTAAAAGACAACATAGCATAAAATACTAAGGGGAATTTAGGTACACAAAGTTTCTCATGAATTATAGTTAGGAAAAAGTAATGTCAGAGGTTTGCTAAGATGCAGGGATGACATCTATTAAATATAAGATGCAGGCATTGCATATGTTAGATATATGTCATTCCCAATTTTCTAGTCTTTCAAATCCACTTAACTATTAAGTAACAAGTAGTGCTGGAAGGCCAGAGAATGGAGCCACAGCTGAGACGATGCATTTCATAATGAAACTGCAGACTCTTCGGTGATAACAATAGTTCATCACTGTAGTTAGACATGGTTTATTAATTTATATAATATTTTAAAGTTTCTTGTATAAATAAGTGTTATATTTTTGTCTATACAAAAGGTGACATTTACTGTTACATATCTAGCAAATTCTGGAACACGTGCTTTGCAAGCTCAGTCCCTTGTTGCTGACTTCAGACTGGGCTTTCATGCTCCTTGGAAATATTCTGACATGACAATAACCATTCCAATTTGAAACACTGGCACACATCGAATACATAGACATTCTGGATTTAAAAATTAAGTAGAGAGAGCAGAAGAGCCAGCAGCTTGACAATCCAGCCAGATCAGTGACTACCCTGCTCCACCCAGCCACTCCCTGCTGGGAGACCAGATGTTGTCTGTGGCTCATATTCTCACCAAGGGCCATGCAGATGCCCATGGTCTGTGCTGCAGCCTGAAGCCATGACAATGTCCAGAGTCTATGCTGTCACCAGGGGCCATGTTGATGCAGATGACCTGTGTTACCACCAGGGGCCATGTTATCCATGTTATGGCCATGATCTGGGCAATCTCTGAGGGCCTTGTCAGGGTCCTCAGATCTTACTGCAGCAGGGGACTGTGATCATGGTCTGTGAAAGAGCAAGAAGGCTAATTTTGCTGTGATATCAATGACTGCAAAAGCACAGTTGAGAGGGAGATGTGTGGAAGACTTCTGTGACACCGCCTATCCCAATCCCACCCTGCCCCCTTAAGTATTAGCCTAAACAAAAAACCACTAAAGAGAAATCTTAAAAAGTGTGACAGGGATGTTGAAGTTAGCTCTTCATAATAGATGTCTTCTGGTAGGAGTGTAATAGGGAAGAATTCAGTTCTGTCTAAGGAGCAAGCCACTGAGAGTTTGACCATGCTCCAGTGTGTATAGATAACACTGAGGCTTAATTTTTTCTTCTTATTTTTATTTTTTACTTCTTTTGGGGAGGGGAGGTCACAAAGAGATGGCAGACATGGAAGAATTGGAAAATTATTGTGATCAGATGCATGATGTGAAACTCCCAAAGAATCAATAAAAATGTTATGAGGAGAAAAAATAATAACGAAAATAAGTAGACAAGTAGTGCAGAAAATTTATCACTGACGTGAACAGCATGTTTTGTTTCTTATACATTATTTGAAGAATGCAAAATTTTCAAACAGCTTCACCTTTGGTGTGATATTCCTGTATGTAAACCTTGGTTTATAGTGATTTCTAGGATTCCTACACAATATCAAAAGTTAAACCTTCAAGAACAAATGTAAGGTATAGCTAGCTAGCTCTAGGTTTAGTTATCAGTGACTGGCATTGAGCCCTCAGAGCTAGCCATACACATACTTCTAAATGAACTATCATTTTTTAAAACTCACTTTTATATTTGTCTTTCAGTGTTTTGGAATTCTTTCTGTGTTTTCTTTTCCATTTTAGAACCATTATTTTAATCATGATTTCTTAGCATCAAATTTGAAAATACTCATCACCCTAACATACATGCTTTCAATTATTTGTCTCTAATCTTGAGAATGTGACACATATAAAACCTGATCATACCCATCTCTCTTTAACACCTTCAATTTCACCTCAATATGGCCCCTTCCCAACTTCATGACCTCTTTGTTTTCTAATAACTCATAAAGATCACTTGTTGGTGCCCATGTGTGCATAGGAGTGAGGCCACCCATTGGTGAATGAGAACTCTACCAGTGGCCACATAGTCAAAAAAGTGTCCTTCTCCCTTCCCTGGCAGCTATCAATGACCAATGGTTGCTCAGTAAGGGTGAGGCCTAGGTTTTTTGCCACATCATCTGAAGAAAACTGATTATGATCATCCTTCTGCCCCTTCACATACCAAGGTAATGCGGGTAAGCATTATGTTAGCGTTAATGGGAGTGTTTGTGCCAGGAGAGTTGACTGGTGCACTCATGGTTCTAAAGTAATATATATCAAAGCCTAAGACCCCAAGCACTTAGCAAATCTGATTAAGTCAAGGTCACTAAGTTAGAACTTGAAGCCAGACTTCTGAACCATAGCCAACCTAACCCAAGCTCCAATCTCTGATGAAATACATAAGTGGATTGATTTTTACTTATATCCAACCCAATTAGCCAAGATTGATGTAAACAAAGTCTCGTGTTTAGCCGTCTTCTAACACTAGGACAGCAGTTTTCTGCCCTGATCACCCACAGCAATCCATTTCCAAAAGACCTGCTTTGTTAAAGCTGCTTTCCTCTTGAACAAGTTTTCTGAAATGCATTAACATATCCCATTTTTTTTAAAAAATAGCCAGCTAACTGTGAGTTTATAGCTTGAGAACAGTATTTATTGTTGAATGAAGTAGAGCCTCTTAGAGACATATTCCAACCCTCAAAATAGAAAACTTACACTTGAACTGTTTATTCACAAAGTCATGGAGTGTCTAAATTTTAAACGAACTTCCTTTTCCAGCCAGTCTAATTTATGATAGAGAATGAATAATGACACAGCTGTGCAGAGTTTTTTTGTAAATACCTTAACTTTTATTGCATAGCATTGCATTTAAAGAATGTGTTTATGCAAATTGAACAAATATGAAATGATAAGTAATTAATGTGGGAGGAATTGCAATGTGCCGACACACAGTTGTCTATGAAAGCATCCTTGTGAAGCCCACCCCCAAACCATACAAACATACACACAGGCCTGACATCTGATTTGGATTGCTATTGTGGCGAGCAGATCAGAACATATTTTCATTCCCTTGAGATCTGCGCCATGATTTGTTTAGGTGGCAGCAGAGAAATGTCTTCAGCTACAGCAGGAGAGATTTCACCATGATGCCATGTACCTCATTACCTAACTG